ATTGTTCGAAATTGAAGATAAAAGTAAGATATATGTATGAGCAAAAAATGTACATACAAACTTTCAACTTGTAATAAATTGGAAAAAGTCAGTTATAGAAACTTGTTGTTTAAACATTTCTACAAACTGTTATTTTAATAATAACTATAATAATAAGTGAAAGTATGACCGTACATGATATGTAATCAAATTAAGGAAAAACGTTGATAAACGATCAGGACTGAATCTTCGGTAATGCGGAGAATTGTACGTAAAATTCACTCGAATAATATTATTAGCAACCAAGATCCAGTCCAAGATCATTCAACGGCGTTTTGCCTTAGTTTGACGATATTGCAATACTTGTTACAATGTATCCAGATCTCTTCTGTATAGTTTACGCTAAGATCTCTCATGTGAGTCCGGTCGAATCTCATTCAAGGAAATGAATGTTCATCTTCATTGTGTCCGCTCCGACACCTCTCATAGACACTTCAGGCGCCTAATAAGATTCCAATTCAATTACCAGAAAGAAATGACTCGAAGGTCATCGATCGTCGTCTTCTCGTCGTCCACTCACTCGAATTCGAGCGTAGAAACGCAAAACAATTTCGGGGCGTTTCTTTGATGGGGTCCCGGGGCCCTCCTTTTTCCCCCGGTTTCGACTCGACAGAGCGTCCCGTCGATCCCGGCGCGCACGAATTTCTATTAAAAGCGGCAATTAGTCTAAGTCCCGATAAATCTTGATGAGTGATACGCCGACATCAGTCTCGTTGTCAAAGACGCCCGCGGCGCGGCCCGCACCGATTACCAATACACAAAAGCTGGAGCGCACGTACCCTGGGCTCACGCATACGCGCAGTGAACGTGTACGTATACGGGGGACACGCGTGAGCGCGACGGACGAATTTCTTCGGACTTTTCTACGCCAGACCGCGGGGCCCGTTGTTATGTTAAACTAGGTGAGAAAGCCGGGATACGGGACTCTCCTCGCAGCGGACCCTCTCCCCTCCTGCCCCCCTTTCTCCATTAGAATTTTTAATGTGGCCGTTTAGTGGGCGCTGCCCTCAGAAATCGAGAACTGCAGCGGGGAACGCCGCCGCGAGGAACTCCTAAATGCTCCGACCTCTTTCCTCTCCCGTTGGGCCGCTTCCTCTTCATCTTCCTGTCTTCTCTTCTTTTCTCTTTCTTTCGTCCCCCCTTCCTCTCTCTTTTATTTCTTTTCTCTTCTTTTCTTCGTTATTTCGGTCGAGCCTTAAATGCCCGGGCCTTTCCCTCGGCCGCCTCGGAGCTGCGTCTCTGGAGCACGGCCAAGAAGTGTCTTGGCTTGTATATGTATTCCGTGATTACGCGGCTGCACAGGTGTTTCTCGCGAGGATCGATGTCTAATCGCCGGCGGAAGCGGAATCGTTTTATTTCACGGTTTAACTCCTCCAAGTGGTCTAAACATCCCGATCGATTTGACCGGCTGATGTGCAGCTCACAAAACCGTTCCTTATCCGCGCGGTATAACTCCGCGCTTTCTCCTCGCGCGCAGAAACGAATTATAGTGTAGAAGATAAAAGTTTTAACGTGCAACATCTGTTGTAATATCGACTCTGGAAGCTAGACCGATCGTATAATGTGTGTTTGAAAAACGCATGCTTCTCCGGTACCTGAGTAGGTTTTCAATAACGTAATGTTGTTAAAACGTTTCACATATCTGTCGTATAGAAATAAAACCTTTGCGATTTTTATTAAACTTAGCATTGCAGATTTTTCGTAGTTGTTGAAATTAGAAATATAAAAAATTGAACTCCAAGATTCTCTTAAGAGAAAGCAGGAGAAAGAGAGACGTTAGGAAATCTGCATTCCGTGGATCTGCTTTAGACTTAAAGAATTTCAATGTTTTGGCGTTTGACTGCAAAATGACCTAAAGCGACTTAAAACGCACCAGATTATCGTATGGATTAGCCTTTTCTGGAGAAAATAAAGAAAAAAGAGGAAAAAACCGAGAGTGTTACTGCAGCAAATTCGATTTCAGAGACGACGATCGTGACAAAACCGTCTGGTGTTCGACAAAGGGCAAGTTCAATCGATTCCGAAGTCCTCATGAGACTTCAAAATCGGCTAATCAATTTTTTCCACGTTACAGTGTGCTACCTGACATCCTCTCTTCTTCGTTCGTGCGACCTTGTCGCGAGGGACCAATCGAGCCGGGACTTTTTTTTGTGAAGACCAATGGTGACGCCTAACTCACCAGCGGCACTCGACCGTAGTCCGAGTGACTCCTAAACTTAGGTACACTGATTCCTGTATGACAATGTCCGAAAAGTAAAAACTGTCACACAGAACTATCGATCCGGTGCCATTGTCTACCTTCGCCCGGAAAACGCACGGAACGAATATCCTTCGCAACACTTCTTTCTCCTTCGATGTCACGCCCCGTTCCGTCGGCTAATTGTGAAAAAGATTTTTTCTTCCGAGCTGCCGGTATCGGTAGCACATGTCCAATCGGATTTGTCAAACTTTGGTGCTAACGGCTAAGGGTAACGATGGAGAAGACGGTAGATTAGAGCAAAAGTGGAGAGGCAATATTTCTTAGCTCCCTGTCGTGAAATTGCGCTGATATAATCGAAAAGCTATCGAGTTTTCTTCAAAGATGTCTTACTAATGACCAAAGTGGGCAGAACGTAGCGGTAATAATTCGCAACGTTCCAACATGTAATCATTTCACAAGACATCAATATCACAGTTTTTAACCCAAAGAGCACATATACAGCATTTTTAATTCCTAACACAAAATGTTGTGTTGAGAATTAAGAAAAAATTTTCTACAATTAATCAAAAATGCAATTAGCTCAGGTATATTCTCCTGCAATCTTCATTTAACGAACTGGTATATTTCTTCAGTCTACAGATTATAATGTAAATCATGAGTATATATTGTTTCACGAATTTATTATAATAATGATTTAAAACACCTGGGGCTTGATTCTTGAAATCATTCGCAAGAGAAGCGTATGCGCAAATGTTGTTCTTACAGAAAAGTTGCAAGTCGATTGGCTGTCGCATAGCTTTTAACCAATCAACTTCCAACGTTTCTGTAAAAGCAGAATTTTTGCATGCGTTTCTCTCGCGAATGAAATCAAGAATCGAACCCCTGATTAAATAGATTTAAAATCTTCAACCGCATATTTGTAAAACTTGCAATCAACAGCGGATGCATGATTTCTTAAACTTTTGTTCGTTTTACAGTCTAATCAGCTTATGAATGTCGTATTACGACTATATACCTTCGACGTATACCTACCTTCAAACTACTCTTTATTTATAATCTTAATTAATAAATAATCTTAATCTAACGTCAGTCACGTGTGAATTGACTTCTCGGCCTAGTCATTCGGCAGGGCTCATTCGGAATGATTTCTCCAAAGTATCTCTCTGATCAGCTGTAAATCTTAGCCGATCCTTGGATCGATGAAACGAAACGCACAATATTTGCAGCCACCTACGGTGGGGCTCCGTTCATCCTCGCTCGTTGCAGCGACAAGAATTTTCGAGAGTCCTCCAAAAGGAAAATTCATATGGCTCCGGTGAATCCCACGGGACCCCCTGGCGCTCTTACAAGCTTACGAGTTGCCAGAACTTCGCTACCGTACGAAGACAAACAAGCAGGTATACGAACGGTTTTATGGAGTGAATCCTTCGTAAAAATTTATGCCAGGCCCATTATGCGTTCATCATTATTTTACCCCCAGTGGCGGGGCTCATAAATATCTCTTCATTTTGGACGAGCGTGGCGGCGACACTTCCGAAGCCCAACAGGAAGCACCTCGTAACCGAGAATTCTCAGATCGACGGGAAAAAAAACTCTCAAAGAATAATTGTCGGATAATACCGTTGCGCGTTGATATTTATGGCAGGTAACTTAAAAAGCGTAGCTTATTGAAGAAAAGTCACGTCAGAAAAATGTCGCAGAGAGAAAAAACGAAGACGGCGTTAAGAGTTTGGGATTCGTTACTTTGTTCCTTAAATTTATTATCGCAAAAAGAGCGTATTATTGTATCTCATCCGTCTAATGGACGACGAATTATCCCACTGTACCTAAAAGATTCAAAATTTGCATCGTAAACGACGCGTTTTATCCGAAATTCACTCAACGACCGCCAATCACTTCGCTTGCCGATCGCGCTATCGTCTCCCCGGTGTACCGTACGCGTATCAGTAGCAGCGATACACACAGCGCGAGATGCAATCCTCCGCGAGACGACACGTTCCGTGGGCGGCCCCGTGGGCAGAGCCGCCCATTGTGCGGCATTCGTTTGCCAACCACGTGGCAGGGCGTAGCCAGCAGTGGGACCCCACTGGTATCATGAGTCCCAGCGAGAGAGATCACGGAGGCCTCCCTCCCTTCCGCCCCTCCGCTCCTACGTACGGACGTGAGCCCCCCTCGGTGCTCTCTCTTTCGAGGGAGAGACACACGGGACACACGGTACCCCACAGCTGACACGTTATTGCCGTAGTACCCCTCGTAACGAAAGCAACGTGTGCTTTGCCGATTCGTTTTCTTGTTTTCCCGGCCTCAGGAACGTGCCCGATCGCGACGTTGCCCTCCCCCGTGTTCGAGGGCGACCGTGCCCTCTTCGCGCTAAACACCGTTTTCACCCCCTTATACGCGCGGAGAGACCGCGCGGAGAAAGAAAGAGAGCTGCGTTTTATTTGTTCCTTCCGTGCGCGCGCGGCAGAGTCCGTTCTGCATTTTTCTTTTTTTTTCCCCTCTCTTCGTCTCTCTTTCTCTCCTGCGAGTTCCCACTCGACCATCCGTGTCTGCTTGGGACCTGGGACCAAAACGTGCGACCACTCCTCCCTCTGGATCTGGCTCGGCTAAGAGTCTTTTCCTTTTGGGGCGAGCGGCGAGCGCGAAGGACGAGCGCTCTCTGGACGCCGCTCAAGAGCGGCGAGAGTAGAGTTTCCCTTGTTAGTGTGTGTGAGAATAATTGTGTCACTCGGATAACGTAACGAGAACCAGGACCACCGGCATGGACGTTACCAGCGGGATGAGGCCCATCTTTGGCGGATATCCGTTCCAAGGTTGGTTTACGGCGAAAAAAACGAAAAAACGATCGTCGAATTGAATCAGAATCATATTAGCGAAATGATGAACGGCGACAGGCGCTTATTGTTAGTAAAACTTGAGGTGTCCTCTCCCTCTTTCACGTTTCTATAGAAAAGTTTATCAAAAAGATTTCATAATACAGTAGCTGGAAAAATAATAAGAACTTTTTCGGGAGTCGATTTTACGAAAGGTTAGACCTCGTGACAAGGCTAGAAATTCTCACGAGAATGTTAAATAAATTACCGCATAAATGAAAAAGAAAACACACAATCTTTAGACGGTCAAAGCTCAGCTGCATAGATTATCAATTTTTTAAAAATAAATTAATTAGACACTGTGGCAGTTATAATCGTTAGAATCGTGCTGCTCAAATACAATTCCCGATGATTATAATGCATAAATGTTTTAATGGGAAATAGTTTCGCGATTTGCATTTCTTAATTGCGATTCTCAGATCTTATCTGGCCGCGCGCGCGCGCGCGTCTCTGACGCCGCGTGTTCGTACGTATAATAACAGCATGCGTTAAAAGGGTGCATTTGCGTCGAATTAACTGCTGACGTTAATCGTCGCATTTGAAAATTCTATTACTGCGATTAAATAATTTACGCAACGCCACATTCGATAACAATGCAGCCGCTTAATCGTCACGTTCGTGCTCGGTTATTAAGACGATAATTAAATTCAGTCACGATCGCCATTAACACACATTCGATCGATCGTACCGCCGTGTGATTTTGATAAATCAATCCTGTCCAAAGCGAGCGATCCCCGTCGTAAATTAAATGGTAACGCGCGTTCGCGCCGCGCCTGGCCATACATTAAACATTTCTCCCCTTCGCCGCCATTTAATTGATATTCATCTTTAATACGAGCTCGCGCTACGAAATTGAATAAGACAAATCTACATTTGATATTAATCGCGCCCCGCTATTGGACATGGATATTTATTAGGCGTGACAGAATTTTCCCTTAGGCGCATTGTGTGAAACGCATCGCGGTAACGCGAACCGCAAATTGTCGAAACGATATATCCTGTTGGCTAAGTAGATAATTAGCGATCAGATCGTTAGCAATGATAGGTAATGTGATCACATGTCGTGATCGCTGCTTTTATCTGAATCCAAGATCCGTGTCAGTCGATTACAGTTCGACAAATGAATGAAAAAATAACCGCTTGTATAATTTGAGAAAATTGTTATTTAAAATAATAAGAAGGTAAATGTCAAAACCTATGATATACATTACAAAAATATTGTAATTTCAGTACTGGGATTATTAAGAATGCATTAATCATCAAATTCTTCAAATTATCTCATTAATTTTATTAAGGGCCGGTTGTTCCAACCTGTTGGTAAACCAACTAATTAAATCACACGTCTATCTTTGTCTAATTTAAAGGAAAAATGAAGACATATACATGATTTAACTATTAGTTAGTTTACCAGCAGGTTGGAACAACCGGCCTTAAATAGGCAAAACGTGTAGGTTCATAAAATATCTGTTAAAGTATCTGCGACGCAAAAGTCGCAGTTACAGCAAGACGTGACAATTTTTGCTAGGCGCACCGCGGGACGCCCGAGACGGAAGACTCAGAAGGCGTCCCGACGCAAGAGCAGGCCATCCTCAGGTCGGCGTGACAAAGGCGCCGATTACCGTTGTTAATATCGGCCGAAAGCTAACTGGGAATCCCTCGAAAGGGATTCTCAGCCGATCCTCGGTCGATCCGAGAATGGCCCGACACGAGCGTTTCCGTCGACAATGAGATTCCGTCGTCGTTCCGGCCGTACGCGCGCGCGCGCGGTCAGACGATTATTATAATTACCCGTCTCTTCGCTCTCTGTGTACACGGAGCGTCCGTAATGCGTAAACATAGTAATTACGCGCGCGGCACCGCGCGCGAGCTCTTACCCCGGGATGGCCTGATGATACGGGAGCTAATGTCACGTACAGTAGGGTGGCTAATTCGACTAACGATCCGGCTTTATACTCGTTAGTGCTGGAAACGGCCCGGTGCACGCCTCCTCGCGCGCATAACTTCTTCAATTTTACGGCTGTTAGCCGTGTTTTTGGTATCCCCGGCGCACCGGTATGGGAGTGTGCACGCCGCTCCTGTTATCTGATTTCATGTTTGCGCCCCGGTCCGATTCCGCCGTTAATTTCAAGCTCAATCACCGCAATTGCGCGGCCGCGGGGCGGCCGCTCGCGAAACCGCGTTTCCCTCCACGCCCGTTCCCTTCGTTTTTCCAACGAGAACCACGTGCGATTATTCGCCGAGCGTTTCCGCAATTTTTTCCGGGAGAAATAAACATCCGTCTATTTGATATTCATAATACTATGACCGATATGTGTGCTTTTTAAAAATTTTCTTTGGAATTTAAGATTGCAATGTATGTTCATTAATTTAAATTTAAACATCTCTAATTTTTACATTTTGCAATTGTTAATAATTGTGGGTCCAATTTTTGAATTTTATTAATTTTTCGGTTTCTTTTTGCAGGACAAGGACGGATGAATCAGCTAGGTGGGGTCTTCATCAACGGGCGACCTCTCCCTAATCACATCCGTCTGAAAATCGTAGAAATGGCCGCCGCAGGAGTCCGTCCTTGCGTGATCTCCAGGCAGCTTCGAGTCTCGCACGGCTGCGTCTCGAAGATCCTGAATCGGTATCAGGAAACCGGATCTATTCGCCCGGGCGTGATCGGCGGCAGCAAGCCGCGAGTGGCCACGCCGGAAGTCGAGGCGAGGATCGAGGAGTTAAAGAGGGACAATCCGGGAATATTTTCTTGGGAGATCAGGGATAAACTCATGAAGGTGAGCGGAAGAAATCGTTTACGTAATTATTCTGTAATTTATATTTTTTTGCAATAAATTCTTTACAGTGATTTTAAAGAGGACTTTTGATGCTTACATATTAGCATCAAAAGTCGATGGAGAAGGACCAAAACCTACGATTGAAATAATTAATATCGTCGATTATAATCAAGAAAGATAGCCATTTAAGTCGAATAAAAATTCTTTATTATTTTGTAATTATTCGAATAACATATCGGGAGATTCGGGAGAGAACGGTAATAAGATCCCCGTTATAAAAGCCCTCCGGAAAACAGAATCTTAAATAAATGAAGAGGAGACGCTATGTATAATAAAAAAAAGAGAGGGAGACACGAAGCCACGATTGTATGAATACGAAGGTAAAATAGCGATTTCTCTCAAACTGCTGCTTCATTATTCCGGTCACGCGGGCATTTTTCCGGTCCGCGAAAACCCCCGCGAGCCATCGCTCGACCCCTTCGATCGAACGTGGTGGACGTTTTCTGCGCGCTTACTCGTGTGTGTCTCTATCTCTCTCGGAGATCATGCTCAATGGGGCTTTTTAATCTTGTGCACGAGAGGCGAGAGCGGCGGGGTACGTGAGCAGCCCGAGGCGACTCGCGTGTCCTTTAATACTTTACTGACCGCCGTCTACACCCACGCCTCATTGGCGTAACACCTCCGCTCCGCGTCTCGATTTTCGAGTATGCAAATGTGCTTTTCCGTAAATTATCTCTTCCGCGTTGCACCGTCCAATCCCGGCGTATAACGTCCCCTGACGATTTTCCGATAGAAAGAATAAGAAAAAAAAAAGAGGAAAGAAACGCCGTTCGTACGCGATGCTCGAGGAAGATATTACCGCGATGAGAGAGAAGATTAATTACTCACGCGACATCAACGTCGACTTTGAGGACGTATTTAATTATGAGTTGCTATCGAAGTAGGCGTTGGTAAATTATAAAATGTAAGGAGAATATAAATATACAAGAAATTGAAAGTTTCTGACCGGCAAAAATTATATTACGTGAGAATGATTTCTTGTCCTGCTGTCCTCGATCTAAATATGTTAACTACTTTTTCAGTAAAAATACTTTATACCACGTGAGGAGGATGAAAGCAGAAGATGGTGTCACCAAGAACTATTAGGAAATTAATTGATTATTTAATACGGCTTCGTCACGTTCGACGTGAATCCTTATTGACCCCCGAGCTCGTCCTGCTTTTATTTGCGATCATGTCGATCGTCTAGCTCGGTAGCACTCTTCTCTCGAAGCAACAAAAGTTATTAGGTATCGGATCTCGGGGGAGGGGGGCCACGAATATATATCTACGTGTCTCCGCGATAAGATCGACGACGGTTCTCAAACCGAAACCGTGCGAAATTCCGATAAGATGGGATATCTTGTCCCCCTTTCAATGCCGAAACGCCTCTCCCTTGCCGAGGGCGACCTACTCGATAGAGAGATAAATCTTGTCCGAAAAGACGCATCGTGCATATCAACCGCAAGAGAGCGACAATAAGGAGAAAATGTATCAATCTTCGGAGGACGAGTGTGCGTGCAAAAATACACGCGAGAGAGGAAAAGGGAAAGAAAGATTGTAAAAGAGCCAGTCAGAAAGAGAACGAGAGCGAAAGCGCGAGTGCGGAAGAAAGCAAGGCATGAGCAAAACGAGAGTAGTGGCGCGAGAGAGAGAGTGGAGGAGCGTCTGCGAAAGAGAACGAAAGAGAGAAAGAAAGCGATGATAAAGAAGAAGACGTGAAGGCGAGAGAGCGAGAAAAGAGAGCTCGCGAGAGCGAGGAAAAGCGAGCGAGAGAGAGAGAGAGAGAGAGAGAGAGAGAGAGAGAGAGAGAGAGAGAGAGAAGCCGCCGAAAACACCGTTCGAAAAAGGAGAGCGGGCACGGACGGCGGATTTACGAAGGGCGAGACGACGAGAGGACGACGAGAGAGCCGTCGCGTAGAGGAGGAACGAGAAACGGTTTCGAGAACACGTACGCCGTTGCAGTCGTGGAGGCAGGCCGGTCGTGGCCGGCATTAATACGGCATTTAATGTTGGAAGGGGGCGTTCCTGGGGCCCCGAGGCCCGCAAGGCGCCTCTCTCTCCTCGTCGCTCCCGTGGTCCAAGCCGCCTCGCCGGGTCCTACGTTTATCTCTCTCTCTTTCCTGTCATCGCCCGGGACCCGACGCCTCAGCCACCACCGGGCAGAAGGATCGTTATTGTTTCTGAGATCGGCGATCCGGCAGATAGCGATCGACACCGACGACCCCCTTTTCCTTTTTTCTCTTCTCTTTTTTCCCCGTGTCTCTCTCTCTCTCTCTCTCTCTCTCTCTCTCTCCCGCTCCTCGAATCGCCCGCTCTCCCTCGCGTTCTTCCTTCTTCCACCCGCTCTTCCCCCTTTTAAATCTTCGGCAAAGGCGAAAGGCAGTTCTTTCACCTTGGCTCGCAGGATAATGCTCACTCGATCTTTACCACGCGCTTTCTTTATTTATCTCGTTCTCTTTAGCGAATCGCCCGTTCGGCACGCACTCGATCGCCGCGCCGATAACGCCGATCGGTATCGGCGCGTGCGTACGTGCGGAGATTTTCGCGGCTTCGCAGCGGGACGATCGCCGCGGGTAGGTGTGGCGACGAAGTTTTCTCGATACCCGATATGGAATCATGAGATATGAAGAAATCTTTGAAACTTTATACGAGCTTATGACCCGCGCACTCTGCATCCAATATATATCTCATGCAATCTCAGTTAAATGGACTCGATCTGAATAATCTTGATCTTGATCGTGATATTGAAATTATATATAAATCTGCTTTTTATATCACAAAGAACGACAGGTCGAGTTTTGAAACATCGTAAATCTCAATAAACCACGAATGCAATTTTTCTTTTCGTTTAATATATTTTTTAAAAATTAGATTTAAATGTCATCTTCATATGTTTCTTCTAAACGCCGTGTATAATGTATATTATTTTCTACGGAACGAAAGGTACTTATATGAAAGGCTTGGATCGGACATTGGATACCTTATACTTGATCGCTATTATACTTCCGTGTGGTGATTCTACGGATCGCTCACTTTGCGGCGGACATCCATCAGCAACCGCGTTGGAATCGTTGAAACTGCAATTATTACGATGAAGATGATGGCTCAACGGAGATCCCGTTTGTGATGTTACGGGCCTCTCGTAACGGTCACTTAGAAGTACACTGCAAGACTAACGCCAAAATCACTGCAGTTGCAGAGGAAGAGAGTCCAGTCTTTCGCACAAACCAGAATAACGGATTTCGCGAATGATTGTTTGCTGAATCACGAATTCTTCTCCGTATTCCGGAGATATGATTAAAAACTGGCTAACGATTCGCCATTCAACCACTCATCAAGAATGCTGAAGATGACAAATACTTCGTCGCAGTAATTTAACCAGCAATCCTAATTCTAAGCAGTAATCCCACTTACACTTGATAATTCATTTGTCTCACGTCGCACGTATAATTAAACCGCAATCACAGTCAAAGTAATCAAAGCCATTCGAGGCAAATCTCTCACTCACCATAAATACCATGAAATGATTTTAGGAGAGCTTACTCGCCAAGTGAAAAATCAAATGATATTTAACATTAAAACAATTTTATTTTTTACTTCGTCGTATTAATTTGATTTATTTCGCGTGGAATTCATACGATGATAAATTTATACGTTTCCTCAAATAACCAACGAGTCTCTTGTCGATGATTCCTGGGATCCTCATCACGATCGTTCGCATCTTACCTGCGCCAATGACGTAACAAAATCCGATCGCGTTGAAAATGTTGCTTTTATTTTCCATAATTATATCTATGCGTTTCGTCACTGAGCAACCTGGATCCCGCGAGTCTGAAATTCTAGTGAACACCGTATAACGGTGCCGGGGCACAATGTATAATAATGCCGATTCTCTCAGCGCGGCGCAAATGTGTATATGCCGACACGAAAATAATCGCGCCAAATTGTAGTGCAGTAGCCTGCAGTTGCAAATGCCACACGCGGGTCGTCGACGCCATATAACTCTACGATCGATCGATCCCTGTTCCCTCGATCGACACGGAAACGTACAAGGTTTTGCGTAAGCCTATAGCAATCTCTATCCGGGATATTGCAAATGTTTTTACGCGGAAATTACGCGAATTTAATGCGAAAACAAAACGCGATAGAACTGTTTTATCATTATCATAATAATAGCACCGCCGTTTGTCTATATCTACGGAAATTATATATCCTATAATGGGGAATCTTTGCAAACGATTGCCGGTTCCGTCAACGTTGAATAATTCCAATCGCGAAATAATTCGATTTGATTTCTAGCTTTCTGCTTTTAGAAGGCAATCGAGATCGAGTCGTATTCATTAGGCTGATCATAAGTTACAACCAGTGGTTTTAGTAATGAGGCAATAAATTGAATTATATGTAGTTCGTTAATAAGTAGCTTGATTTGCACGCAGGAGGGTTTCTCGGATCCACCGAGCGTCAGCTCCATTAGCAGGCTTCTTCGGGGTGGACGACCAGGAGATGACGGAAAGAAGGATTACACTATCAATGGCATACTAGGCGGCGGTAAGTCTGATTGTGAGTTTCTTTGTATTCCCTTTACTCATTGTAAGTTTCACTTAAGAAATTCTACACGCGCATTACGATCCGTATACGAATTTTCCAATAAATTCCAAATCGATGAGTCGACGTCAACTCTCAGCCAATCCGAGTATCTCTTTACGCGATCGTTATCCGCTCGCGAGAAGCAAAACGAGCACACGAAATAGCGCGAAAGCCGCGTAAAGTTCCCATCGGACAGTCGAAGGGTTAATTACCCTTTTAGGCTGTCAGCAGCGAGAAAGAAGTCCGCGCAGCGGGCCCAATATAGCAAAGGCCGTGCCGGCGCGATATCGCGCGAGAAATATGGAACGCAGGAGGAAGATAAGATAAAGAAAAAAAAAAAAAGAACGAGAGACGCGCGATCCATCGTCTCGAGGGGCATCAAGAGCTTTTAACCTCCGCCGGTCCCTGTGGACCCAGTTTGACGTACGCGAGCGTATATATATATATATACCGGGGCCTTAAGCGCCTCGCTGTTAGGGACCAAGTTAGCTCGAACGAGTCGGCGGACCGGCAGGATTTAATCTCCGGTGGGCGTGAGCAGGATTAGCCAGGTTGCCCACACATCCGACAAACGGATTACAGAAGTGTCAATATCTTATGGGGCGCGGGGATATTTTATCCTTCGTCCCTCGTCCCGTCCTTCCTCCTTCCGAGATTTCCGTGATGCGGTTTTATCCCGCGATGCGTGGTTGCTCGAAGGCATTAATAAAACTTCCCACAATGCTTCTGAATACGCGGAAAATTGTGCAATTTGTTAACTCTTTGACGAATTCGAAGCGAATCTCAATCTTTATGGAGATTAAGCGGATCTCAATGTTTTCTTTAGTATTTCCTTATTCTTTTAGAGATACAGAATATAAAAATAATTTTATTAATTTGCAATTTGCCAAAATAAATGAACACAAATCTCTAATGTGTATTGATGATATAATTGATGATATAATTGATAAGCATATACGTATTGTTTTTATCATCTAATTTGATGATAAAAAAGTTGATTATTGAAAAGTTTATTTTATTCTACATCTATGATAAAATTTATAAATTATGTTGCATACACACGAGTTATAAAGGATTATTTCAAAGATTATGTGAAGTCATAGGCTTTAAAATTTAACGATACGACGAACGATGACTATTCCTTGCAAATAATAAAAATTATATAGCAAGTTACAAATAAATTTATTAGATCGCATGATTCTAATCATAAATACCTCCCATTGAGCCTCTCGATCGAGATCTCGTTTTGATGGAATATCCCGATTCTTAAGCCGCGGGCGCGCACGATTAGCTACATGTTCCAAACGCGAAGCGGGAATCTGTTTTCGTGATTGATACAGGTAGACACGGTGGAATTAGCGGTTACAGGTGTCCCAAAGTCTTAAGAAGTCAGGCGGGCGAGGATGCTGCCGGGGTCGAGAAAAGATCCTTCGATCGCGGACCGTCGAGAATGTGAGGAAAGAGTCTCGAGAGCCAAGAGGCAAGAGCGGGCCTCAAGGCCCAGGGGCTCCGCGAGGGTCCCGCGGAGATCAAACGGGCCGCCTGCCACACGTCGACAGCGGTGCTCATTCGCGGCTCCCCTGCCCGTCGTCCCCGCGACGATTCTTTAATCAATCTAATCGCGCAAATTGGTTTTCGCAGCGCGCACATATCGTTTCACGTAGATATCTCGCGCAAGTGATCGTTTTAGCACGATTCATTTTGGACATGAGATTCGAGTCGAGACCGGAGCGTGGAGACGGAACGGCGGTAAAAAAATATCGCGCGGTCATAAATAACCAGAAGCAGTCGATAAATTTCGAAAAACAATAATTAACGTGTCTTAAATCGGGGCGCGAATTTCGCCAATAAGAAGGCGCCTTTGTGGAAACGCTAATCGCGTGACGAGTAAACCGCGCGGAAACCGTCAATTACGGATGCATATCGGTTTCGACGCGGTTAATTATGCGCGCCGCTCGCGATGTGTAACTGCCCTATACGCGCTTCCATAATTTTTACCCCCAAAATTACAATGATAGGAATCTCGGCCGCTCGCCCCTCGTCCTTGCCGTGCCGCGCCGGGCCTGGTGTAAAAATGAATAATTATTTAACGAGCGGGTTCACACGCCGATCTCATTCACGCCGCCGTTTATTCGTCATTAACCGCTTTCGCGGTCGGTAAAATTGATTAACGCCGATCCGCGGCCGAATTAAAGCGCCGCGCCGGCGATGCAATTTATCCGCGCCGCGTTGCGCCGCAATTCGCTCGTGCGAATTTCGAGAGACAAGAGCGACGTCTCTCACCGTATACCGTGAAAAATAAATAAATTCCGAAACGGACGTGACTCTTTACGACTTCCTGTCATCAGTGTTAAACGAAAAGAAGCACTTAAGTGGCACTTATTAAAATATCGCGAGTGCCGTTACAAAACGAATAGTTTTCACAGAAATTTATTAAGTAAAAAGAGTTCAGTAAATCTATTTAGAAGGATACGTAAAAGGCGATTGGGATTTTTGTGCGCAATTGCTAGCGAATTATCAAGATACCATTTTGTCAATCTTAATTTAACGAAAATGTAAAATAATAATTAAGTCTGCGGGATGAGACTGGTTCCACTTTTATTTCGCGCGTGGTGAATATCGGCGACTTCGACGAAAGGCCAACTCGAGCCGCTCGATCAAGCTTCCGCTTTCCCTCATGCCGCTTTCCAGATAAGGGTGAATTACTATCGCGCTCGTCGGCGCCGCTGCCGTGCGGTTGAATAACTTACGGGCGAGTCTGGCCGCGCGCGCGCGCGCGGCGCGGAATAGGGAGCGAGGGGGCAATCGTGATAGGGAGCACCTCTGGACGGATATACTCGTAGTATGGCGGAGGTGTCGGTCAGGGTATAGGTGTCGGCAGGCAAGCAGGAATGACACGTAGCCTGTGGCTTTCTTATTCCTTCTTATTCCGTTCCTTTGGCCTCGGCCGCCGACGAGGGATTAGCCTAATGGGTCCTGCCCACCCCCCTGCACCATCCCTCCTCCCCGCCCCTCTCGCGCTGCACCGACACACGTGTATAATATGTATATTCGTTCTGATCCCTCTCTCGCATCACCTCTTTCTTTCTCTCTCTTTCTCTCTTCCTCTTTCACCCCCCCCCCTCCTCCTCTCCTTCTTTCTTTCTCTTTCTCGGATCTTTTTCTCTTCGACGCGAGATCGGGCCGGGAGAATATCCGCGCGATGAACAACGCCGCTAAGTGATTCACAATCAGGTTTATTGATTGTATCGACGATCGACGATCGCTCTCATCGGGAATGCGCCGCCGCGGCCGCCGACGCTCATGGGATACTGTTTTTGATGTTTAAGCACACTTCGGCGCACACCGCGCCGGGATCCCTTTTCTTACGCGCTGCCGACGCCCCGCTCGCATGATTCGCAATCAAATTTGCAGATTACATCGCGCCGGCTCCGACGTCCACATTGTTCGGCCGTCGCGAGTTGCCTCAGCGCGCTATTATCAAGCCGCGCGCGAAGAGTCAATAAGATCTTTCGAAGCCGCGATAATATCGGGATGGATCCTTAGTGCGCTAAAAACGGTGATTTGCATGTTATATTAGTGTTAAGCAGGGTCCACATTATCGAGCCAAACCGCGAACCGAGTCCCGAACCGAGCCTCGAGCAGAACTTGCAGACGAACCTCAAATCGAACTCCATCGCGAACCGCGAACATGAGTTAAAATTTTTTGAAGTCAAATTTCGTATTGAAATTTATAATAAAATTTATATAAATTTTTAATACATGTATGCAAAATGCATATTTATATTTACAATCGTATTTTTTAACATTGCAATATATATATTATAAATTTATTGCGTATTTATCACAGGTTTAGAGTATGTTTATGCAATATTAATTCTAAATTTTGTTTTATGGTTTGAAAAGGAATTAAGTTTTGAATACAGAAAAATAATAAAAGCACATATACATATATTCACTCACCTTTTCCTGTTTCCATACTTTTTTTATTTTTGCTTTTTCTTTTTGCAGAGATGCCAATAATGTCGTCATCTTTTTTTTGCACATGTCACTATCACATTCGAGTTCTTTACTTATTTCTTCTTATAAAAAAAGTATGAGAACAGGAAAAGACGACTAAATATGTGTATACATATGCGTGCTTTTATTATTTTCTTGTATTCAAAGCTTAATTCCTTTTCAAACCATAAAACTATATTTAGAGTGGTACCAACTATATTTAATATTGCACAAACATACTCTAAAAATCTATGATAAATACGCAATAAATTTATAATATATATTGCAACGTTAAAAATACGATTGTAAATATAAATATGCATTTTTTTAATTGTTATAATGTTCGGGATTTTTAGCGTCCCGTATATAATAATCTTTTCTGCTCATAATCACTAATTAATTTTAAACATTTTTTATCAGACCATTCCATTTTGTCTACCAGTAGTCGTGTAGACTGCACATACGTGGATAGAATCAAATACAGCGACTGGGCAATTACTCACGTTTTCTTTCATCGTTCATTTTTTGTTTTTTGTCATTATTTGTCTAGCTCGAAGCTTAACTACCAGTCTACCACCCGAGAAAGCGTATAATCTGATCATAAAAAGCATCTTTTGATGTTTCGTCAGAATACCGACTTTTGGTGGGACACTGCGAGCCAAACCGCGTATCATCAAAATCCTTGCAGATTCGTGGGGTGAGTACGCGATGGTTCGCACTGATGTTCGATTCGAGGTTCGCGAGCCTCGCGCGAGTCCGTCGGCTCGACAATGTGGACGCATGATCGGCTCGCAACGAAGTTCGGCTCGCGGTTCGGCTCGATAATGTGGACGCATGATCGGTTCGCGGCGAAGTTCGGCTCGCGGTTTTGCTCGATAATGTGGACCCTCCTTTACCTTCGCTTTACCGTGTATCGAAGTAGAATCGATCATCTCGACGAGTAGAAATTAAATTTACTGCCC